TTCTCTTGCGAGCGCTTGACAAGAAGATGCCAGTTTATCAATTGGCATGGCAGTTCGTGCACCTGAAGCCCTTAGCACCAACAACTGCATTACCTGACCAGCTTGAAGCTTTCAGCCCAGAGGTTACAGCATTGAGCTTCGCACAATAACAATTCTATGGCCCCTGAGATGATGTGGACTGTGCGATTTGCAATTGTGCTTCCAATTACCCCGTTCATTGTCAGATGAATCAAAACAACATAGAGCCCATTTCAACATTTAATGCTGTCGACTGGTAGCTGGGTAGGTAATCCCCAGGAGGAGGCACAATCTTGTGTCCTTTGTGTTCCCCCGAATCTACGATGAACAAATGCAGGAATGTCAAAAATGTTGTGTGAGGATGTCCGCAAGGGTTAACAACTCAGTTATGACTGGTCTCTGTTGAAAGAGAGTCACTGCTCAGAAGGGCCTATGTGCTGGCAAAGCAGGGCTTTCGCCAACGGCTTGACCACTCTTTTCGGAGGATTGCTTTTGGAGCAACGATTTCAGGTCCATCCCAAACCATGTAGGGGAGGGAAATGTACCCATAATCGCATTGCAAGCGCAAGGGTACTCAATTGTCACATTTTGGCCGTCGCAACAACCGTCGCGGGCAGGCCTACCGCGCACCTCGCACGCCCGCGTAGGCCGCCATGACTTGCTGCCAATGTCCCAAATCGTCCTCCCTCTGCAGCCGCTGGGCGAGCTCCTCGTCCGAGAGGCCGGCCGCGAGGCTGCCTCCCACCGCCGCGGCTCCCATGGAGCCGGCCTCCGACGACTGCCCGACGCCGCTAGCCACACGCCAACGCACAACACCGTCACAATCGCCAACCCGTCCCACGCCCACACGCCGCCCAATCACCGCAGCCGCGCCGATCGCCATCCCCTCCGTCGTTCGGCCAGCGCCAGCGCCCAGCCGCAGCCACCATTCACCGCACGGCCTGCCCCATTTGATCGCCCGCGCCAAACACCCGCCCCGGCCCCACCCCGGGCACCATCTCACCTCGTTCCCACCTCCGCCTCCCCCCTGAACATCAAAAACGCGGCCTCCTGCTGCTGCAGCATCTTTGCGAGGGCCACATCCGCGTCCTGCCCGTCCGCCAACGCCGTGCGTCAGGCACGACGTCCCCCTCACACGTGGCAATCACGCCACCCGCGAATCACGCGAGATCGCGACGCAATTCAACATCTCGGCTCCCGTGCCAATGACCGAGATTGGCGAGATCGGCGCAGCGTGTTACCATGCTGGCATCCGCGGCGGCGGGCGTGGTGCGTGCGGCTGATTGGTGGCCCTCGTCGCGCTGTCGGCCTGCGGAGCTCATGGCGGGAAGGGGGATTTGGGCGAGGCGAGGTCTGCGTGGCCTCCAGGCGGCAGGTTGGGGCCTGGGGGCGCGGGATGGGCGGGACGGGAGGCCGGCGAGGCGTCCCACGGCGTCGAAACCGCCGCCCGTCGAGGCTTGTGCGAGGGCGGCAGGGGCGACGCGCGCCAGGATTCCATTTTGAAAACTTGAAACGGTCATTTCGAAATTTTGCCGGGGTGGGATTGTCAGTCGATCACCACGCAGCGGGATAAGGGGGAGGTGTTTTCTTTTTCGGCTTCGATTCTTTTGGGGGAAAGGCGTTATGGATGGAGTGCTTCTTTCTGCTACACAGGGACTCTGAGGAGTACGCTGAGGGCAGCTTTCGGTGCCAGTGTAACCGCAACAGGGCATTCAGCGGGACCAAGTCCTGCTTTTGCGTACGATGGGGGGATTTGAGGGGTGTGCAAGATTTCTGTCGGGCACCATGTATTTTTCAGAACATCATCCGCGACTACCGCTGTTTGTTTGTCGTCCTTACGGTCTTCAACGCAGAAGAAGTAGTGTCTCACGAAGCGTGGATGCCAACCACACTCTTGTGAAGTTGCCTTCTCGAATTGTCACGCTCCCTACACAGTTTCCATTTTTCCATCCTCACATTCTACCTGCAGACTGTTTGCTCCCGAAGCACGGCTGGCCTCTGCCCACCTCATTTTCAGCACCAGCAGGCGGGACGCCGGCTCCAAGTTGCTGGTGCGAGTGGGGGTGGTGGTGGCCAAGGTGCTTGGGATGCATTTGTGGCATGAGCTGGCAAAGACACAGAAACCACGGTAAGAAACGCTGCATGCTGCAGGTGGGCCATGCGGTGCGTTTGATAGTCCAGATGCCTTGGTGCCTGCTTTGCTTCAGGAACTTCGAATGCGCTGGAACGGCAGTGCACTCTATACCATGTGGAGAGGGGAGGACTTGAGTGGCCTTTTCGCGCAGGGAAAATGACCGGTATTGCAAAAAAGCATATTTTGTCTGAATGGGATGAATCCCTGGAGGACTCTTGACACGGGTTCAGGGCAACGGATCGTTTGCGTTTGGAGTCGGTACAGCGTGTCGTTTCTAGTGGCGAAACGGAACCGATTCCTGCGTTCTCGAGACCCATCAAACAAACAGCCTCCATCAAGCCACCTGCCAGAGTTGGCCGTGCGCAGCGGCACTGTCCACAGACACACCCAGTGCCGCGCCTCCTCCCAACGAACGGATCTGATTTGCAGCCATTCAGAAAGGCCAGAAGGCAACGATCGCGTTTTCATCGCTGGCCGCAGACGAGTACATCAAGCGGAATGCGCCACTGTGACGACCAATGCCCTCGCGCACCCATGGGCCCAAACTCCAATCCGCGCAGCCCCGCAGCGGATCCCACAAGCTCCATGGGCGCGGGCCCCGCTGCCTGCGGCCTTCAGCGGATGCGCGGCCCCCCGATGCTCAAGGCACCAACGTGATCATGCGCCATCAGCGAATCCATCACGATGCATTCTCCGCACAGGGGGCACGGCAAGGCGGCCAGCCAGCCACCAGCGTTGCCGCCCCAATCCCTCCTTATGCCTTGAGGACACGTCGCGAGACGGAACACCGTGAGGGGCCAGTTCCGCTGGAGACTCAGCCACCCACTCTTGCTCGTCTGCAAACCGTGTGCGTCCCTTCAGGTCTTCACAAACGCAACAATGCTCGCACAATCTGCCAGGGGCGTGAATGTGCCATGATGCGCGTCACCTTTTTCGCGCATGTTTGCCGCGAGTGCCCCTCCAGCGTTTCAGTATAGTGTGGTGTCCGGGCTTGTGCCGGCGCCGGTGCCGAACGTCGAACTCGGGCAGGGCCTATAAATGTGTGCTCGGAGACGTCAAGAGTTACGTCACCAGTGTTGCAGGCACCTGTCGGGGTTTCGCAATTGACGAATTCCAACGCAATTTGAGGAAATGCAACGTTGCAGAACTGGGAGCAGCAGGGCAGGGGTTATGCATTCCTTGGTGGGAGGCGTGGCGGCACACAGGGTGGGAAAGAGCTCTTGGGGGGAGAAACTCCAATCAACGCAATTCCAGTGCCACAGCTCAGCCCGCTTCCAACAATCTGCACGTAGGGCAATTTTGGTTCTGGAGATATGGCAAATTTGAACATGGGCTGCGTTCTGCTGGCAATGGCGATACCGTTTCCCTACTGCATAACCAGCAGCTGCGAGCACAGCTTTGATATTGATTGATTGTCTCCTGAAGTGATTATGTCTGCATTAATTAATTACAACAAAATTTTTTTTGACAAATCACTGCGCATCATGTTCCTTCAAGGTAATATCGGGCAGCAGTCAGCGAATCAGCGACAATGGCGGGTGTGCTTTCACAGTTGCCCTTGATTCTGCACCACGGCCCTTAGCCGCTTCCAGTAGTTAGCAGCCCCCCTGCCCAACACAGTGGCTCCCTGTCTCGATCCTCCTCACGATCGGGCAGAGTTGTTGTTGGCTTGGCTTGCAACAGTCCTAGCAGTGTTACTGCAGCCCAGCAACACAAGTTGGTGGAGAGGACTGCACTGGGCATGGGGCTCCAGCTGCCCTGAACAGGGGAGAGCTGAACATTTTGCAGCACCATGGACTGTCACCTTGGCAGCCCTGGTGTAAGCTGAGGACGTTGAGACAGCCATGGATACATGTGAGCAATGATTCCTTGTCCTGCCATGAAAAAGAAAACATCAATTTGCCTCGATTCGGCTCACAGCCATCTCAGCACTGTGCTGCTAGGCATCGTGCATTACAGCAAGTACATCAGTATAAAGGATCCCCCTGCAGGTCTTCAAGGGCCGATCAAGCAAGCACATGTAGAATCTGCCCTGCACCACTCTCCAGACAAGTCAGCAGGCTGCACGGTCTCTGACCTTCTGACCCAATGCATTGCCACAAAACAACAAAGCAAAGGATCACCTTTGCCGGCACAGCTCCTGGCCTTCAGCCTGTGTACATACGTGCAATGACACAGCTAACATACCGATCAGTCCTCTCCATCATAATCAACCAACCCGGCACATGTACCTGAATCACCTGCATAATTGTTAGAGGGACCTGCAGTGCAATGGACGGAACACACACAACACACACCTGTGTCAGCGTTATGGCCGCTGCTGCTTAGTTCCTCAACATTGGGAGCAGCAACAACAGGGAGGCAAAAGGGAATGGGTGGCACACACATTCGCTTTAGAAAGCACCATGAAAACCACCCACAGACATGTGGGTGGACGGTGCCGCCCCACAGAGGGAATAAGATTCCAAGCACTGGACGCATTGGCAATCATTAGCATGGGATGGAGAGGGAATGCTAACATTAAGCATTCACTAGCATGGGCTGGAGAGGTATTGCTATTGCTGCTAGACCTACATGATTCTGGACAACTACAAAATCAGCAGCTCACACACAATGTCACAATGCTGCAGTGTGGAAATGTGCCCCACGGAGTTTGCCAGGAGGAATGCCCGAATGACATGTTTTCTGAGTACTGGCAAACATCCTCCACTCATTTACTCCCCTGCATGCACACATCTTGACCTCCTGTGCTGTGCTATGCACCTGTGCACCTCTGTTTCCCTTGCACTAGTGAGCAGTGGTACACTGGCACCGCAAAACATCGGCAACATGCGTGCAGTAGCCAGGTCAATAGCAGTATTCCATTCCCAACTGTGAAAACCACTACTGAACTATGCATTGACCATCAGATGAACGCCTCCACCAGTTATGCCAGAACTGCCAGCACTTTAGCCTCGATTCAAAAGAATCTAACAATGAAATTGCTGCCAGTTTTCACTAAACTAGAGCAGGCATCAAAATGATGCCACCAGCAGACCATGTCCTGCCCTTTGGGATGACTAAGGCCATAGTGCCCCTTTGTGGCTTCCACCATAACATTCTCCTGGATGCTCACCTGGTGGCAGCACGTGGGGAGTTTGCGGCAGTGGCGGAGGGACAGGCGGTGCCCAGCCTTGGCTGGCTGTGACCTGGTGCGCATCTGCAGTGTCAGGCGGGAGTGGGGGGAGAGGCGGAGGCACGGGTGGAGCCGGGGGCTGTGGCATCCTGGCGGGGGCGCTTGATGCGGCAAGGGTATTGGCACTTTCCGCCTGTGGTAACACGCATAATGCTTTGATATGTCATCAGCGAAATGCCAGAGGACTGCAACTAGCATTATGTGCTCTTGCTGCATACTGAACTTCTCAATTGCTGTACATGTCACCCTAAACCCAGAATAACAGCAATAGTAGTAATCAAAACCTGCGGCATTCAGCAAGGAATACTTGGCGCAAATGTAAGCAAAGGCCAGTAGCACAAGGGCTTACAATTACAGATTCTGTTCTGTCGTGAAACCAAGCACATCCCTCAAGCAATAAACACTGGTGGGGGGTTAGCCATCAAAAAGCAGGCACTGGCGGCAGTTCAAGAGCACAGACACAACACCCACTCCCACCTGGCTTGTGGCCGCCTGCCCTGCGAACTCCCTGAACCTGCGCTTGCCTAAGCTGCCACCTGTACCAGCACTTGGTTGAGCTGGCTGTGGCGAAGGGTTCGCCATGGCAACTGAAGTTTGCAGAGGCTGCTGTGCTGGGTAGGCGTATGCTCCACCTGGTGGACCCTGTTGCGGCACCTGCGCATAGGTACTGGCCGAATTGCCCGGTGGGTGCCCATATGGTTGGGGATATGGAGGCCGCCCTGGAGGCACTGCTGGCATGGGGGCAGGCGGTGGTCCTGGCTGAGAAGCTGGCAAGGGGGGTTGTGTGTAGTACTGATGGCCAGCGTTGAAGTAGGGAGGACGAGGCGGCTGGGGAGGCCGGGCATACGCTGGCGCTTGTGGGTAGGGTGGGATTGTGGGGTATGAGACTGTCGCTGCAGTTGGAGGCATCGGAGGCTGCGGGGCAGCAGGCAGAGGATATGGTGGCGGAGTGGCTGGAGGCCTCACTAAAGCTGCAGGGGGAGCAGGGTAGCGGCGGTAGTACTCAGTCCTGACAGTGTCTATGAGGTTTCCAGCCAAGCTGCACAGGCAGAATTCCTCACGTTAGTGTGGGTGATGCAAGGGCAGAAGCCTCCATCCCCTTCACGATGGACAGTTCAGTGCATGAGCCATTGATCAAGCAATGAACCCCACTGCAAAGATACACAGTCATGAAAAAAAAGAGCAACAAAGCTTTACTTGCTGGATACGATGTCTCATAGTCACCTTTTGGCCTCTTCAAGCCTCTGGCTGTTTGTGCTGGTGAGGAGCATGTGCAGTGGTTCCTGCCTGTGGAGGACAGCCCAAGTTATTGACTGCTGATAAACTGCCAAGACAGCCAAGCAAGTGACCAGCACAAGGCATTTTGTGGAGGACTAAATGCACAGCTGTGCCTGTTTAAGGAACTGGAAATGAAAGCATGCAGCACCTGTGACATTGCTCTCTACTTGTCAGCCAGGCCATATCTCCACCTACCCAGCAGGTCCTCCAGAACCTTGCCCTTGCAGAACAACAGTCACTCCAGTTTGTTTCATGATGTGCTGAAGGTAGCAGCCATCTGCACAGTACAGCACAGGTTGAACCCCTCAGCCTATGACAGTGGGAACTGCCTGCAGTCATGACTCATTCTTCCACAAGGAGGATGACAAATTGAGTTTGCAAGGGGACGTCAGCTGCCAGTCTATAGCTGAGAGCAAGAGTACTGCAGAAGATGTGGCCGTCAGGAGCAAAATCTCACACCTGTGTGTGCAACAAAAACCCAGAGGAAACAGCAGCACATGTGCGGCACCAACAATACACGTCCTGGACACAACCATTCAGGAGCCCACAAGATATTATGCACGTGTAGGTTGTGGCAAGGAATGACGTCCTGGCAAGTGTCAAACTACTCCGCTGACGAAATTTGCCAAATAGGCAATGCCAATCTCAACCACATAATCCTCAGCTCAAAACAGTGAATCAATCACAACAGCTTTGTACTGAAGGCTACTGGGCAGCCATTGTCATTTCATAAAGTTCAAATCTCAGGGTACACCCAATCTGGACCTCTGCTACACCAATCCATCAATCCATAGGCAGGGGTTTGTCAGACATTGGAACTGTGTTTCCAAAACATGCCAATAGCACGGACAACAGGCATGGCAGCTTGCCTGGTCCTTGCAGCCTGCTTGCCAAACCAAACTCTGGAGGTGCCTGCAGACCAATGGGCAGCTTTGCCTGGTACGATTGCAAAGACACAGGCTGCTGTCCAGGAACAGCCCTGTTGCCTCTTCCATATGGAACTTGTTCTGAGCCTCCCAGGGAGCACCCTGGCCGGCTGGACCCATGGTGGCCAACACTTGAGCCCTGGTCGCCTCGCATTTGCCTCTGCACTTCTGCCGCAGCTGCTTCTACAGCACGCTCCTTTGAGGCATCATCCTGGACAGAATCATCAACAAGCACCTTGTCGGGGTGGAGAAAATTTCAGGTGGGTACATACCCACCAGTCCTGACACAGTCTGCTGATGTATGTGTCACCCAGCTCAAGCACTCCTGGTAATCGATTCTTGCTACATGGAGGATCTGGCTGCCTGAATAGCTCACCACTGGTCGACTTGTTTTCCTTGCTTTGAGTTTGCCTTCACCTCAATTGACAACAAATGGCAAATCACTGCCCTTGCACCTACTAGGCAATGTCAGAAGATTCCCTGCTTGCCAATTACTTGTTGTGTACAGTGGTTGGTAACCAGATGGATTTGGCACTGATAAGGAACATACAGATTCTCGATGTTCACATCTGTGCTGCATTAGGAGCAAGGGCACAGCAGCCTTCGAGATTGCTGAGGGTGGGTGCAGGAATGCTGCTTCCTGTCCAACTTGTGGCTGTGTACTAGGAGGGCTGTGCAGCCCACTCCCAAACGCACAAGGGGGCCACCCCAATGAGGATGGACCATGCCACAGTGCAAACAGCTGCCGATTGTCCTACGTGGACCTAATCTCCTCCCATCCTTTCAACGCACAAAATCCCACCAAAATGCAACATGAAATGAGAAAAAGGCGGTGAGGCAAACAGCCAATGCAGCTCTGACCGTTTGTTCCATGTGCCCCCATGGGCATATGCGCAGGACAGCAGCATTTGTGTTCAACGCCTTTGTGGCAATTTCTATATTCCACAATGGGCAAGTAAACTAGGGAGGCACAACAATGCAAAAGCAGCCACAATGCCATGCGTATCTTCAGGTAGCAGTCTTGTCTGTTTTGGGTGCATGAAGCAAGCTGAAACAATCCCCTGCGCGACTCCCTGCTGGCCCACCAGCCCTCAATTACACCTGCCCTGCATCATTTTGCAGGTGAACAGGCACCCTGTCACGCCAGTTGCTCAGACACATTGAACAAATAATTGCCTGGCAACACTGCCCACTGGCCCACCAACACGCACATATCCCGCTCCAGCTCCCGGCAGGATGCGCAGGTGCAGTGGCTTGTCCCTCTCGTCCAGCTTCGCGCCCGGGGGGCAGTAGGTGCCACGGGTGACGATCACTGTGGCTGTGCGCCTTTGGATGTCCTCTTGGGTGCCGCGCCTGGTGAGGTGGTACCGAATCTGGTTGGGGGCGTCGTTGATGACCACCTCCCGGCAGATCTCCTTCTTCTCTTCGACCTGGCTCGCCAGCCTTGCCGCTGGTATCAGGCCCTTGGCCACTGACTCCTGCACGCAACAGGACCCCGAAGCATGACAATCCACAGTACGAGTGAGCTGGTGATCAGCACTTGATAGCTCCTGGAGCGAATGTGCGTGCGTTGTGATTACTTTCAAGGGGAAACAGCGCCATTGCACCTGGCAGACGATGCCGTTCAACAATTCACTGTCGAAGGCATGGATGAGAAGAAAACGGCGATGGCTTGAGCAATTTGCCCGCGCTCTTTTCACTCCGTCCCCCGCAGCGCAAACTGCGACCAGGGGCGACAACTTCTAGCAGATTCCGTTCGAGAGGGCGACTGCCACGCGCGGTCTCATCACAGCTCACGGCGCAACAACCGTGCGGCGCGCGTGCCACCAGGCGCCGTCGTGCCCCAATGCCAAACGGGCATCGCCGCTGCGACCTTCCACACGATCAGGGACCCCGACAGCCCAAGCCCGCCGCCCTGCAAGGGCCACCACCCAGCCACCAGCCCCTGCGGCAGCCAGCGGCGCACGCCCGCCATCAAACACCCACCTTGTTGAGCTTGCTGACAACCGCCAGCGCGGCCTCCTGCGCCCTCTTGATGGCGTCGGGGCCGGGGGGCTGGCCGGGGCGCACTGCCACTGCCGGCGGCTGGAACACCGCGTCGGCTGTGAAGCCGATCGCCTGGCCGGCGGTCGGGGGCGCCGACCCCGCGGCCGGGCCCGGGACGTCCCATTTTCGGCGCTTGCGCTCGTGCTGCACCTCCGGCTGGTCCATGTGGGGCGACCAGGGACACCCGCGGCTGGCGCGGGCGGCCTACCTGCTGGCTCCAAGCTCCTGCGGGTCCGCGCGGGTTGGTCAGAACGGCGTGGGCACGCGTCAGCCAGACCCAGGTGCATTTGCGAAGGTGAAATGGCCTGGTCGCGTTGTGTTGCTTTTCCTTTCCTGGTTCCGATTTTTTTATTTCCTTCCTTTCGGTGAGAAAGGATGATGTCGCGTTCACTGCCTTTGTCCAAATTTGGCAGGTCGTCGGCGTTTCGTCCATCAGGTCGTGTCGGGGAAGGGCGAGGGGAGAAACGTGCGGGTTGCCTTTCCAATCGACACACGGCGGGAAACGCCCATGGCACCTCCCACACGCCCCCCAACAAGCAAAAACAAGTGTGCGAGGCCTTAGTGCACACACTTCTGAAGGAGGGTGCACTCAGATTGCAACAAACGAGTGAAGAACACGAATGGCAAGCAGCACAGGAAGACATGCACGGGGGCTGTGTGAGTGCTAGTTTGGCCAAATGGACTTTGGCCACGAGTCCTGTCCCAGGACTCGTTTTCTTAGTATGTACTTCTCGTCTGTTTAATATGTCTTTTCGATCTGCGCGAAATACTGTCTCAATACTCATATATTATAAGTAGGTGCTCGACTACGAGTGCCCTTGCAAAGCGCCAACATGCCGACTTGAATTAGCCCACGAAGGTTGCATGGCTGTCCACATGCGTCATCCTGACACTGTGGAGCACACCTTGGTTGGTAACAGGCGACTTTCTTCGTGGCCCGCTGCGTCTGGAGATTCTGTACTCCAGACCGCACTGTTGCCCGGCGAGAAGCTGGATACCGCAGTATATCAATTCCGTTCAGCGTGGTGACATTTTGTTGATCATTTCGCCCTCGTGAAGCTGCACTTTGCACGTGCTTGTTTGAGAAAAGGCAGCAAAGCAATTCCATATTGACCCTAGATAAACCAATTTCGTGAAAGATTGGTTACTTGCATTATGAGGCAGCATCAATGTAAATGGAGAAGCCACCGTTACCGTGGTGTGAACGCCGCGCAGCCGTATGTGTGGCTGGCTCAAACAATATCCAATTACCTCTTCATTTCACAGCCCTCAGGGGCCAGATAATTTCTCCGTCGCCAACAGTACGGTAAGATACATACGTGTGCGCACATTGCTAATTTGTTTCACAGCAAGTGCCATATATTTGAGCGAAAATTTTCAGTTGGCGCACTCATGTTCGGTGTTCGACACATGGCCGTGAACCCGCCGCAGGTGCACATTCATGGGGATGCTCTGACGCAAGTGCTGGAAATGGACGCACAATGCAGTATAAATTTACAACAGACAGATACAGGCAGATACCGCTGTCAAGGTGTGAGGACAGCGCAGTCAGTCCGTCGATTCAATTGCCATGTCTTTGGCAAATGTTGAAAGGCTTACACTGGACAGTGGTCCAGGACAGCAACTCGCTGCCTACCCTGGCGCCGCCGGTTGGAGGTGGTGGGAAAGAAGTGTTGCATACACCAACGCAAGGGGACTGTGGACACCCGCGGACAAGCACGCAGGCAATATCCAAAACGTGGTAGCCTTGGCAAGACTGCTTGGGCATGCTTCCAAGATTTTGGAAGCATCCATTCAAATGAATGCGAACACAAAGCGGAAATTCAAAGTGTAAGAGACCACTTATAAGTGGCTAATTAGCCAGACTGGCCAAGTCTCCTAGTGGACTGAGTCAGCAGCTACAAAATGCGCGACAGGAAACACGTTGGAGTCTTTTCTAAAATTCTCTGAATACCTCGCCTTCACATAATGTGGCAGCTGTGACTGCAGTTGAGAAACAACCGTGTTGTTTCGCGGTGGTCCTGCGCGTGCTATTCAATGGTCGACAGTTTGAGCAGACGCTGCAAAACGATAGCACGGTTATAATTACTTTACTGTGGTGTTGTGTCGGCTGCGGAAAACTGAAGTGTGTTCCCCGTCGAATTGGACGGCTGATGGCTCCCAACTTGTCTTTATGCATATTATTTTGGGATAGATTGCACATGTGCTTCCGGCCGGACTGTCCTTCTGACGCATCTGGCCGACAGCCGAACGTCGATTCCTTGCCAATTGACCCCCTTCCCCAACCGGTGCTTCAAACAACCTTGAACGCAACGAGGGTGCGTGCCTGGCGCGTTCCCGGTCACACCATTGCCCGCCGGGGCTTAATTTAAGAGGCATCGAGCAGCTGTTCAAGCGAACCCGGAATGCCACGCCCTGCTGACGCGGACAAACAGCGACCGGCTGCCCGCCGCTTTCGGGTATAAATGCCCCTTCCGCTTGTGCCTGAGTGCTTCGAACTTCTTCTCTCCCTTTGGCTTCACAGTCGGAACTGGCCTTTGAAGTCGGAAACGAGGAATCAGCAAAGCAGGAATCCCCTGGCACCCTGATGGCGGCTGCGCTGGAGCATCGCTGCCGTGAGCTATGGCCGGTGAGCAGCGCTGCGCGGCTGTTTGAGATCGCGGAAGCTGGGTGCCTGGGCATTCACCGCTGCGTCGAGGCCAGCGCGGGTCCTTCGGGTGCCGGCTATGAACAGGTGCCCCTGAGTTTCGCGGCAACCAACTCCCTCCTCGGCTTGCCGTCTTCAAATCAACGCAACTGACCCGCGACGGGCATTATGCTACGTGGCCATTTGCTCAGCACGGCGGGGCGTGCTAACGGGCGCTCTTGGGATTTTTCTGTGCTGTATTTTGGGACGGCCTGCTTTACGTAGCACCAGTAGAAAACAGCCTGTTTGCGATGCCAACTGCGACGCCACTTGACACAAATTGATGCCATCGCAGCCACTTTTATGCAATCGCAATCACTGTGACGGCACCATTTTGTATCAAAATGGCGTCGCAGCTGGCATCGCAAACAGGCTGTTTTCTACCAGTGTAGGGTTTGGACTCCAACTCTAACTCAAATTGTCCAGCTGCTGGAAAACTGACGGCCTGCGCTGCACACGTCATTCAGTTACGTGTTTGCTCTTGTACATTATCGCTGTTTGGAGCACCCGAAAAACATTGTAGTCGGTTGCCGCGAGAATTCTCTATGCCTGAAGTTCGCTTCTGCATAATATAGTTTCCGAGACCTACTATAGGTAATTTTCATGAGCGAGATGCTGTGCTCATGTAAGCGTATACGCGGTGCGACTTTTATTGTTATTATCGTTTCGTTCTCCCAGTTCTCCCGTTTCTTCCATGATTAGCATCTATGCCAGATTATTCCGCAAATTATCGAATAGAATTATATTCCAGTTGATAGTCTTTTGATGTATTCATTCAATTCAATATGCTTAATTCATTTGTGTTCGACTCATGATGCCAATTTACTGTCCAATCGAACGCTAATGAGAACAAAAGCTTGTCAATGCCATCATTACCATTGACAATATCAATGCTATTATCAACAGAATGTAGTAAATGTCTCAAAGCAACGCAATGCAATATGACGTAACTTGCAAGTCACAGCGCTTTTTATGTAAATTGACGTAAATTAACTCCGTCGCTCAATCATTGATTTATTGATACGTTATTTTGACGCAATCGTACGCAACTTATGTGGAGAAGATATCCATATGTCCCCTGGAACAGGCTTGGTTTTTACGCTTACTCTTTTGCTTTTACGTTTTTACGCGCAAAAACGTAAATTTGAAAAAGGTCCTATGCTTGCGGCTATTTTTTGCGTTTTTACGGCTCCCTGGGACACCCAGATTTCACGATGAAAATTGCGTACAATGATCAGCCCTCCTCCGTCTCCAGCACCCACAACACAATGTACACCTCGCTCTTGGCAAGGGCGATGATGGCGTTTACCGAAAACTCGTTTTCTGCCCCTACCAGGGCGTCTGGCTGCCACTCTCCGGACTCTTTATGTACTGTCCTCATGTACACCGGGCAATTTTACGTTGTATTTACGTATTTTTACGCATTTTTACGCGTAAAACATAAATACGATCAGTTTTTACGGCGTAAAACCCAAGCCTGAACTGGGCCTGGCCCAATTGGGCTTCACGGTGAGGGACTTAATGTCTGTCTGAAAAAAAGCAAACCATGTTGAATCGAGCTACAGGGAAGGAACTCAGTTTCTGTGGTGAGATTGAATCGCGCTCGCTCATCGACTGCCATATCTGCCGCAGCCTCAGTGGACCGAAAATTGCGAAGGAGCCACGCGCCTTGCGACACGTCCTCCTCGCACCATGAAAGCCGCTGTGCATGCTGCCCCACGCCTCCTTCGACGGAGACAATTGCGGGGGAGGCAAGGACGCCCGCCTTGGCCACTACACAGCCGCCGCCGCCACTGCGCTGTCAAATCAAGCGTCCATGGAGGCCATGATGGTTGAGGCTGCGACGAGGTCCCGTGGGGCCTCCGTTCACGGCGGTGGTATGACACTATCCAAGACCGCGATCACCACTGGGGACTCGACAAAAAAATATGATGGCCAGCTTCAAAACAGGTAAATATGGCGGAGGCGCATCTGCGGTGGATACCACATAGACAATGTGCCAACGGACATTGCAGTGGATCACAGCAAAGACGGACTACTATGTCAAACGATCTGGGGACGCAGCGCGATCCCCTAGCGGCAGATTAGGCGGGATGTGGCGGCTCCGCGCTCGCACACACGGATATCGTAAGGACGACCCGGAACCGCAGCCCATGCAGCTGGGAGGGAAGCTCTGGATGGCACGGAAGCAATCCCCGCGATTCCCACATCTCAGTTGGGCAGATAGCTTGGGCGACGAAGAAAATCAAACCTAGGCATGCGCTCGACACAGTTATCGCATGACGTACTGCTCTTTGCTTCTTTTGCGCCTGCAATGCGCAAAAGACGGGCTGCCACTATGGAACCTCTCTAACAGGAATGTGATAAGGAATTCCTGTAAAATTTACCCTCGCACTGCATGATGTGAAAGACTGGCCAAAACTATGCGGTCCGCGGTCAATGCAGATAGTTGAACTCAGTTTTCATGAAATTTCCGCCG